TTGCTTAAAAGCTGAGGCCAGCCAGAACTGCAGAGCAACACTGTGTCTCAACAAAACAAAAGAGAAATTCTAAAAAGTGTTGGCTACTTTGGGGGACCACTCCGAGCCTGCTCCTCCGCTGTGCTGTGGGGTACACGGCCGCGGGCTCCAGACGCCTCTACTGGAGCTCACCTGAGCTGGCGAGGCCCCCTCACTCCAGCTCTCGGCTGCCACTGTGAACCACAGCTCCTCCCGCCCCGGCCTCCTGGTGCCACTTCTACATGGCTGCCACCCTGCAGCTCTGGGAGACAGTGGCCACCACCAGGGGCCCCCAAGCCTCAGTTTCCTCACCAGAGGGCCAGGAGCGCCGCAGGAAAGGAAGTGAAGCCGCCGGAGACCCAGAGCGCACGGCAGCCTGTGACCTGGACAGCGCCTGGCCTCTCCCAGCCTCTTTCCCTAACTGGAATACAGGTGTCTTGGGGATAGAGCCTCGGGCATCCTGCCACCTCCAGAGCCCCACTTCCTCCCTCCCAGCCCCACCTGCCACCTCTCAGAACACCTGGGCCCCTGGTCCTCACCCTGCCTGTTTGGGCGGGTGCTGCAGCCCGGCTTGTCAGCCCTCAGCCAGTTCAAACCCAGCCCACAGACGCCACTCGTGGCTAGAAAGAGGCGGCTCACACCACAGAGCAGAGCCTTGGGGCCTTGAAGTCCCAGCCCCGGCAGGCTCAGGTGCGTGAGCGCAGAGGGTGAGGCCGGGGGCCTGCACAGCAGAACAGTGGGGCACCATCCAGGGGCAGCGTCCCAGCTCTGCAGCTATGGTGGGCTGCGCCATGGGGAGCCTGGACCCCTGTATGGGTGCAATGAGCCCCATGGGCCTGAGACAGCACGGAAGGGAAACCAGACTCCCACAGCCAGGGGCTGGCCCCTTCCACACACTTCCTGCTGGGTCGCTGTCCCTCCTGTGTCACAGGTGACAAGCCCGCGAGGGAGACCCAGCCAGGCCCTCTCCTCCTAGCACCTGTGCCCAGGTGGCTCGCGGTGCAGCACTCGCCAAATGCTGGCCGCCCTCGCTCCCCGTTGGAGACAGAGCACTGCCTGGCTATGCTGGGAGCTGGGGATAGCAGTAGCCGCCTCCAGGAAGGAGAGAGAAGAAGGGTGCAAGCCCTTCCTGGGGCTCCCCAGTAAGGCACAGCAGGGGCGGGCGGGGAAGAGTCAGGAGGGTGCGGCAGGGTTGCGGGTACCCACAGTCTTCTGTCCCCAGCAGCCCCGGTGCGCCGGGGCTCCCACCCCACTTTCCAGCACAGGTCACCGAGGCGTGACGTCCCCCTCTCCCGAGTCGCCGTCCACAGGCG